TACTGACACTAAACAGACACCTAACAATGTTCCACCTTATTATCCTCATCCACAATATGGATATGGATCACTATCATCCTATTATCCAGGATCTACGGATCCTTATATGTATTCATCACCTCCATATTATAATACAGAATATAATAACTATCCAGTAAATGAGTACGGTCAACCGACAGCAGCACCTACATATTTTCCTCCTATTGTCAATCAAAATCAACCAGAATATAATACATATCCTACTTATGGACCGAATGGATCAATCGATGGGTCTTACATGTATCCTCCAAGAAATGATCATATGTATTATCCGGATTATTATTATCCGAATTACTATCCTGGTTATGAAACAGCAAGACGTGAGACTTTGCCACCAATACATCAACAAGTATTTATTTTGATTTTATTTTAATGAGACATCAATTTTTCTTATATTCGTAGCGACCTAATTCAATTCAACCTGCTTTACCAGCTGAAGATGAATATGAAGTATTAAGAGTTACGGATTTGACTTATCGTGCTTCATCACCATCGAGATCAACTGGTAGAGATACTGAACAAAAAACTAGTCGTCATAGTAAACGTAAAAAAATACATGAATAATGCTTAAGTTTTCTATTCATGTTTTTTTTTCGTATACAAGTGTCAGATATCGACAACAACATGGCGTAATCTTTCTCATTAACGCTGTCATCTTAACGGAGACAGCATGAATTCCTTTTTCACGCCTTTGTATGATTTGAGATATATATATAAGAAAAATTATATCAAATGAAATATGGCAATGCCTCTTGTAGATGTAGATATATATTAAATGAGAGAGAGAGAGAAAAAATAGGCAAATAATTTTAAGGGTTATGGGTAAATACACACATACATTAACAGAGTGAAACTGTTCCTGATCAAATGTAAGAAAAGAGATATGAGTAAATATATGTTCAAGCGATAGAATCGATAGTATTTAATTTTAATATGGTAATTATTCATGTCTAAACTGCGTGCTTATTTTTTTTTGTATTGATTTATTATCATATTATTTATTCTTCTCCAGCTGGTTCAGATGCTGAAGCTGCTTCTGTTGTTGTTGCAGGTTGAGCACCACCACCAGGTTGTCTATTAAATTTTGTTTCTAATTGTTTACGATTTCGTTCATGAGGATGAAGTTTATCCTGATAACAACCTTAATAAAAACAAAAACAAAAAAAAAATATAATATAAGAATATTTTTTTTTAATTCTCATCTTACTCTTGCAATAAATATCTTGAGAAAAGTCCTTGTATGAAGCCAATGTCAAAATGCTATTGCCTATAATAAATCATAAATAAATAAATAAATAAATAATCTAAATGAAATAAACTTACATGTTTTACATTTGAAACAACCTTTATGCCATGAAGCACTACATGCAGCAAGTTTTTCTGCTGGATAAACAGTTTTCTGACAACGTGGACATATTTCACCACCACCTCCCCACTGTGGCATTGTTTAAATAATGAAGAGAAAAATAAAGAAGATAAATATAATCTAAAAGAAATATTTAAATTAACTTGTCTATATTATATATTCGATCAATTGACGGATTGAATAATCTTTATATAACTTTCTATGCTAATCGATGTACGTCAAAAAGAGCAAAACATTTTCTTTCCGATGTTAAATATCTAAGATAATAAGTGATCAAATTGACCAAAAACTCGTCTCAATTGTTGGATTATGCGTACAATCACGTCTTAACGAATAATATCATTTATATAAGTAGAAAGAAAAAAAATGCAGTAGCAAACAAGATTATCTTCTATTGCTATGATTTGCACATCTACGATATATGCGATCAATAAAAGAGAGAGCGAGAGAGAAAAAAAAAAAAAGAAGAAGAAAAAAGGGGAATGTCTCATACTAGTCAGCCTTGGTGATATAGCTGTTATTCATCGTTATCATGTTCCATACATACACATACGCCCACATATAAAACCTTTCCTTTTTTTTCTCTTGTTCTGTTTTGCAGTCGATGGATAAACAAAAAAAGAAGGTTGTTATTGATAATGATTTGTCATGACGATGAAGAAGATGATGATGATCTATCTTTCTCGCTCTATATCTCATCAGTCAAGCAACGATTGGGTGGAGTCAGCAACAGGCGAACGTTATGCTCCCAATTTATGACGTTATTTGTATTTTTTTTCCTCCTTTGCGATATTCTATTGGTATTACGTCAATAGAAATAGCAGTGATGGTATGCTTTACGATATCAATAACCTAATGACTCGTTCGAAGCATTCGCTAGTTACTAGTACAATGACGTGTTTGTCCTATAGTAGAGTAAAACAAAAAAAAAAGGAGTAAAGACCATTATGTCATTATCACATCTTCGGACAAGAGGTGACAAACAAACATATCTCTATTGTCGTCCGATAATTATACTATCCAGACATTTACAGGCGGATGATAATCTTTAAAAAAAAAAGATATGGATTTGATCGACAAAAGATGGGTTATACTCTATATCCAACATATAAAAAATAACGTATAACAACTTTCTATCGAAGTGAAATTGCTGGTATCAATCATGAATATAGAGAAAACAAAGAGAAAGAGAGAGAAAAAGAGCTTCCCACCAATATTAATAACAACAATAACAACAACAAATATAAGCATTCGCCCACGTATTAACACTTAGCATAATGAAAAATATTCCTTTCATCTTAGTCCAGTATGTCTATATGCTATGAGAATATTCATCGAAAGAAATCTCTAATCAAATTTTTTTCTTCTCTAGCTATCAATCACAATAAGGAAGCTTCTATATACATATTGGTTATGTTTTGAAAGAATCCTAGATGTATGTCTCATAGATTAGACACCAACGAAATGCCATCTATATTGTTGTCAGTCTTCATCTGTCTGTCCAAATAAATGAGTAGATTAACATGTACCAAAACTTGTTTTGTTTATTTTGCTCGTACAATTTAAGAAAACAAAAAATTAGCTTTCGTTTTTGGTAATCTTAAAACTATTTTTATGCAATATTTTCATTGACTTTTTTATAACTTACTTTCTCGAATATTATCTACTAATATATATATATATATATATACAAGAAACAATACATGATTTGGCATGTGTGTACATGCCCTTTGTTGGAAAATTCTACTACGCCAATGTTTTACACATATGGTGTTTGCCTTGACAAAATAAGTATGACATAATTTAGAGTATTAGGAAAGTACTGAGAGTATTAATTTAAAAGTTTTTAAATATATTCTTTATTATTAAGAATCCTATGTCAACATGTCAATAATAGTCATATTTTCAATTAATATGTTGTCATATAAATATATTACGATATAACATTCATGTTCTTTCTTAGATTTGCTCTTATCGAATGAATCTTAAATTGTAACGATATATAATAGTCAAAGATAATTAACAAATAGTTTATCTAAAGAAAAACATTCGTCATAGATTTCTATGACAAGTGAATGCCAAAATCAAGTGCAAAAAAATGATAATAATTAAAAATAAATTCTGTTGAGTCTTAGTTTCTAGCAAATAATACAATTATAATCTTACGATATTGTTTTTTATTTGTCAAAATTTTTTCTTTGTTTTATTTAATTTAGTTATTGACGGTACATAAATCAGGTTTATAACCTATTAATATAGTTTGAATTAAAGACAAATATTTTCAAGTAAAAGTTTATGAAATTAAGATCAATAAACTTAAGTGAAAAATAATATTTTTCTTTTTCAAAAAAATATTTCATAAGAATTGGTTTGTATGTATTGATGATAAATGATAAAGTCGGATTGTTGTATTTACAACTCTAACAATATTCATGCAAAATTGACGAATGGAAACGTGGCTTATAGTGAGACTTGATTACTTGAGAGTTTATTTTTTTACTAATGTACAAAATATTTTTTTTACTGAATATGATGAATCTATTTTCATGAAGAGTACAAGAAGCATCAAGACATACCTTCATCGTCTTAGTATGAGAAACAATGGTAAGCTCTACCAAAAATTCAATAAAAAAGGTATGATTTATTCTTTGTTTTCGTTTAGAAGAATCAATATATCATATTTCTTTTTAAAAAAATTATCAAAGTTGTTATTTCCTATTTAAAATAGTTGTTTTACAAATATATTAAAGTTCAAAGACTTCACTAGTTTGCTGATCTCTAACTGATTAATATACTCTAATAATCGATGAAATCTTTAGCATTTGCACTATTCATTTAACCATAAGTTTGTTTTCTTTTTTGATTTTTCGTATTTTCTGTCACTATATTATGACATGTAGTTGGTATATTATTTGTTTTGTTTTTATTTTATTTTTATGTGTATAAATAACATGAAGATCAAAGAGAATTTCTTTACTGAATATAAATGTATATGTGTCATGGAATATTTCTTTATTTATAAAAAGCCAGGAATCCTATTTTTGTTGCTTAGATGTTGACAAAAAACAATTGTTTTATGTTGTTGACGTTGTCAGTGCATCGTTTATAAGTAACTAAAGAAATTTGTCATTGAATAGTAAAAAAAGTACGAGTAGGCGGAAAAGCACTTTTATCGTTATTTTGATTATTTTCTTTTTCTCTTTTCTATTTATCGATCAAAAAAAAAAATTCTCCAGAAATCGATCGTACAATCTTTTCTTCTGTCATGATTTTTTTTACGCTTTTCAAGTTATTGAAAATGTGAGATATGAATTAGGCTAAACAAGGTGAGAGAGAGAGCGAGAGAGAAAACGAAGGAGAAAAAAAATTGACGATCGCTGCCGTTTTGTGCAGCCGTTCGAACAAGTGAATAAGTGGTTGATTTTTCATTCCGTTGTCGTCACAACAGAAAAACAGACACAAGTGGTAATACGATAATGGTGACCATATGCAATTTGATGCTGTGTAATTGAAAAGAAAAATAGCAGAAAAAATACATATCTATATATAGGTTTACATATCATTATTACGACTAAAAACAAAAAAATACTCTAAAATGGTCCATATTGGCAGACATATTATTGATCCTCAAACTGGCTTATGCGAAATATGTGATCGTGGCGCCATACATCAGTTTCGGCAATCAAAACATGGAAAACAATTTCTATATTCAAATCAAGATGGGAAATTCACTTATCGCCCTAATGATGATGAAATATATCATAAAGATGAAACAACACCACGTCATGTACGCAAACCTCTTTATCCTGAGCCACCACCGCCACGACCACGTCCAGTTGTACATGAACCACCACCACCACGACAACGTGCTGTTGTACATGAACAACCAGTAGTTACTCAAAGAAGAATTGCTCGACGTGACCATTCACCATTGGATGATATTCACCATCATTCTCCTAATCGTCTGGCAACACTTTATTACGTTAATAATACAGGTCAGATGGCTCCTCGACCTCACGATGTACCAAATGAGCCAAGCCGACGTTATCTTGTTCAAGAGCATCATTCACCACCAACAAAGCCAGCTCATGTTGAACGCCGACGTGCACGAACACCACCACCACCAGCGAGTGATTCTTGGCGTTCACCACCCAGACGACAAAATAATTCTGATACACGAGTTATTGAACGACAACATAGAGACATACCAAATGACGCTTATTATCATCAATCACCAAGAAGAGCTGAAATGTATTTTGTTGAAGCACCTCATAGTAACAATCATTTTTCAACATTACGTCCTTCTGTTCATCCGTCACATATTGATAATACTCCATCACCTCGAATTGTTCATCAAGGAGATCCAAATAGAAAACATCATCTTGAACCTATTCAACGAATACATTACGCTGAAGTCGAACCAGCTTCTACAAGAAGGGCAAATAAAAAATTATCACCAAGAAATCATGAACCTCTACAAGAAGAATATATTCCGAATGGTAGTCATGCACGACCTGTACGAAAAATTGAAAAAATTTATCCAACACCTAGACAATATGAATCATCACCACAATTGACAAATAAACATGTGCGAAGTACTTTATCAAATAAAAATCCATCTATTTATTATATTCCATCCGTTAATGAATATTAATAAGATAGTTTTTTTTTCTATATACCATTGTAGCTTTCACATCATTGATTATCAATTAAAATAATATAGAAACTATGTAAATAAAAGCAAAAAATTGTTTTCTTTTGGTGCACTCCTCAAAATGGTCACTTTAAAAGCGATTAAATTTTTTTATTTTTTTAGTGAAGAATAAGAAGTGAATGACAAACTTTATAGGTTTCGTCCAATATTGAAAGTAAAAGAACAACTTGTCACAGTTGAAAGAAAACTGACAACAACAAGTTTTGCTTACTGATTTAACCGTACAAACAATAAGTTGATCTCAACGAAATTTTTTATTACATAATAAAATTTCAAGTATGTAGAAATCGATTTATCAATGCCAAAATCGGAATATTTAAATACTTCAACAAAATACAATGAAATCAATTTTCTTTTTATGCAAGATCTGAAAATTTTCATAATCAAATCATGCTTGCAAACGGGAAAAAATCAACATCGGAAGCAATTAAAGCTTTCTTAAATTAAAAGAAATTTATAGAATTTATGATTTACTGTACCTGCTAACCTATCTAATAAAATCGAGAAATATATTTAGAATTCAATCGAAAATTTCATAATCAATTTGATTTAAAGTTTTTAATTGACTAACAATCGCTAGTTCAGTGAATACTAGATCTCGAAATAGGCCATCCAGCCTAAAGAGATTGTTCTGTCGGAGCAAGCGGCCCGAGCTTTATCTATTCATTCACGGAAGATTTCCCATGTAAGAAAACAGAAAAACAAATTTGATTATTCAACATGCAAGATAGGTTTCATTTGTTTTTAGTCTTTCTTAATCGATCAATGAAGACTATAATCAAGTAAAATCTTATCCTTAAAGATAAAAAAATCAGAATTTAATGACGTCATTGTAATCGATTTCATTCTCTTTTTTTATACATGAGTTTTACAGTCCGTAATTGATAACAATCAGAAATTTTTTTGATGCGAATGTTTTTGAAATTTTATTTAACTAATAAATAAAAATAAAGAGCCTTTATATTTGGTTCAATGGCATACCTCATCTACGCACATAAGGCCAAGTGTACTATCGCTTACACTAAGTAGCATGAGTGTTACTGAAGTAGAACAGTATAACTCAAAACAGTAACTGACTTGAACTTGTTGAAATTAATCAGCGAGTATTTTACTTTTGAAAGCTTTTTTTTAAATCAATGATAGTCTTCAAGAAGTTACAGGACTCATGAACGTATCTTACACTTTCGGTTCAACAAGTAATTCGAATTATATCTTACTCTGTTTTTCTCAAGAATAAGAATTGGCCGACCTTATTCAACTCAGGATTACTATAATAATAAATTTTTTTTATAGTGTTTTAACAAATGACTACGGCTTGTGTAGAAATCCTTTTCTTTATAAAATAAAGATACTTATGACAGTAACATTCTGAGCCGTGTTAGCCTAATAAATTTTCAGAAAATCAAATTTATAATTGAAAAATATTTTTTATTGCAGTTTTGCCAAGCGATAAAGAATTAACTTCGATATCGATTTCTAGACAAGAAAAAGATATTTAAAACATTTTACAGAATATTTATATTCGACTTCATAACGTTATTTTTAGTTCAATCTATTTCTGCAAAAATTTAGATGATGTTTGATTCCTAAATGAGTCAATGGATTAGGGATTATTTTATCGAATTTCATAGTTCACTGTCTCGTTACGATCCATAATATAAAAATTTTGCTTCTTTCGAGTCAAGTTCAGACATCTGAATATTTCAATATTTCTCCTATTTCTTTTTTTCTCCTCGACTTCACTCTATATTAGCTCATTACTTTGTGTACCTAACGAGAAAACCATTTGAAGTCTTTTAGTGTCTTTTGTTTCATATTTTATTAATAAACAGCTGATCTGGTAATCAATTAAAAATCAAAAGGATATGAATTTATGATATGATTTAGTTGAGATATCCAAGTTACACTGTGGTCTGCTTATATAACTGAGATTTTTCTAAGACTTTGTCCGTATTAAAAACTCTACTAAACTATTTTGTATGACAAGAATTACAATTTTTAGACGTAGCATCATCAAGACTTGAATTTTTGGAAAACATAATTGCTTATCCGTAGATAATGTTGAAAACATGCACCGTTTAAACAATTCAAGTCTTAGTGATGGTTCGTTCAAAACTTGTGCATTTTTAATACACAATAGGTTAGTTAATTAGCTAATGTGGATAATGTTTCTGCTGAAAAATCAAAGTCTTTCAAGGAAACTTTCATAAAACTTCAATATCTTATTAAAATTTCAACGTGGATTGATATCTTCGTAGATTTGTTCTACGATGCAGATGCTATACTCATTGAAAAAACTTAAGAGTCAAAACCTTTGAATTAGCTCGGGCTATTTCCTCATAAGTTCAATGGAATCCTTTTTCAATCAATTTCTATTTATTTTCAATAACAATAGTAAAACAGTATATTCTTTAAATTAGAATGCTAGATGTATTTATTACCTAAGTACGAATGTCTTTCTCTTTCGTTGAGTCAATTATGCCTTTTTCGAAGAAAATCGATATGTGCACTTAATCTCATTACAATATGAGAAGAATTTAGTGTTATCAAAGCAGTAATAAGTCTAAGAAATAAATAAATAAAAAGATTACCGCCTTCATAATTTGATAATAGAATTTATCAATTGTCTCTGTCATCAATTGTAGCCATGTCCACACTCGACACCAACTGAAATAGACTTCTCAAATTTCACCAAGAAAAATCTATATTTTATAATAATAAATATAGTAGAATGACACATATTCTTAGTTATAAGAACATTTATTTTTTCTACATTTTTCATGTCCTATCAAATAGACTCAATCAATCAACTACTGGTTCGTGTTAATTATCATTCTTCCTTATCGATCGAGCAGAGAATTGAAAAAATAACATAATCAATAGATTATCAATACATCTCAATATTGAATTAACATAACTCTTGTTAAATGAACTGTACTTGATGTTAATATTGACACATTCAATGAATTGAATTACATTTTTTATCCAATCTGCTATGATTAATAATAAAAGTTAAGAAGACATTCATCATTATTATTTTTATATTTATATTATTTCAAATAGGAGAATGAGAATTCTTAACAATCATTGGTCTATAAAGCAAAGCTTTTGAATAGTATCAGACAGTTGAAGTATGAACAATACGAAACATTATCAACATAATGATATGTACATATTAACATAAGTAAAACTTTTAAAAATATTCTTCGGCATCACTCTGTCCTCTTAATATATTAAATAAAACGTGTATTCATCTGCATACATTTTACTTCATTGAAATTGATATATTATTTATCAATGTAACAATTTAACTGTCTCGGAATAGAACTTCAAGGTAAATTTGATTAAACTCCATCTATAAATGATAGGCTTGGTAAATGAAATCTCTTTTTTTTTCTTTTGCTCAAGAAAAGTTTGCAATATTTAAATGTGACTTTTAATGTATAAAATATTTTCTGTTACAAGTTCTTATATTGATCAACAACAATTATGAAAAAATTGATTTAAAACAATTTTTATTGTTATATTATTTCATAAGATGTTAAATATACTCAATGATAATCTTTCATATTAGGAAAAGAACCTAACAAGTATCTCATTACATCATCATCGTCCATATCATTAACATCGTTTTCAATAAGACTTGTTAGACATGCATTTCTTTTTTTTTTTATTCTGTTCGTGACGTTTATTTTTTTTTAAATGAAAATATGCATAAATGCACTATTAAAATATTCTTATCATGATCTACATAGATTGTGTTATTCAATATCACACTATTATGATCATTAAACTTTACTTATTTGAAGTAACCATAATCATGATGAAATCGAACGTAATAATGAAGCTCAGAAGTTAAATGTCATAAACAATCATATGGTTGCTGTTATAATAACGGCGATGATTGACGAACAATAATGATGAATTTTCTTTGGATTATCTTGTTGATATAATATAACAAATAGAATTGTACTGATAAAGGAACTATTTTGTCTAGACATACATTGATACCAATACTATTATATTTTTATCGTTGATTTTTTTTTGACTAGTGAACAATTCATAATATAGAAAACAATTATATTATTCATTTTCATTCAATCAATGATTTTTAATTGTGCGGACAAAGAAAAATACGTTGACACGCCTGACATATTCATTTCTAAGTAACCCATTATGATATAAAAATTCAATTTTTTTCTACAGAAAATTGAAATCTATTAATTTTAACATGTCCATATATATACATAAAATATGTAAATTTCATTTAATATTCATAATGATAAGTCTCATTTCCCATTTTGATTATTATCGTTCATTGAATGAAAGGAAAAAGAGAACTGCCATAAAATTTGCACATGCAGTATGATTCTCGAGTTCAAGTACAGTTTTACTTTGTCCATTTCTCGTTGTCACACATCACGTTTTTCTCTTTTTTTTTTCTACGTATATTCTATTGCATAATCAATATAGAAAGAAAAAGTTTAATATCATGGTTAATTATTAACTTGGTGAGCAATAACGAAAGGAGGCATTACATCTTCTTCTTTTTTTTTTTTTTTTATTGAACTCTAATAGTTATGCACACTCACACACATACATATATATATATATATAAATTTAGCACCGTATTGCATAGAGAAGAGAAGCACCATCATGAGAAGAGAAAATGAGGGTAAAGTATGTTCATGAACTTTTATATGCTTGTATATTATTATTTAAAATAAAGTATATCTCGACGCATTTGAAACATCATAATAAGTGTTATTAAACTTGGTACAAGTAGAAAAACAACAGATATTATACCAATACGTTGTTTATTTGAATACATAGCGTTCTCTAATGCGGTAACACAATTTGTTCCTGTACAATTATATGTTGTACGAACTGTTGGCCATATAGATGCTGATGTTTGTGCAATATCAGTTTCTAATGTAGGT